CCCCCCCCCCCCCCCCCCATTATTAGTTTCAGTGTTTTTTTTAATGGATAATTTTTCTCATTCATAACATAAGTAATAAGTTCCTCTGACTGGAGGCTCTTTAAATGAGTTCCTTGGCAAGGAAGCAGAAGATGGCCCATGGGGACATTTGTAGATGATTATGCATTAGACCTGTCTGTACAAGTCTGGTTTACCGCCATGATTGCATTGCTGGCAAATATTAGAAACCATGACGGCTGCGGTGCATCTTTGCCACAGTTTGAAAGAGCAGTGAAGAGACAGCCTTGCGGCTCTATTTAGTGCGAGCAAGTCGTTTTTAATATCTTCTTTTTTGCAGCAGAGGACCACGCAATCATACAAGAACCTGTTAGATGTGAACCAATTACACCTTTATCATTCTTATTGGTCGATGGAGATTTGGGACGTTAATCCCCATCAAAGCTTCGCTCCACCTTCAACATGAGCAGAAGTCTAATCAGTCAGAGTAACTAAAAGCAGCTGTGTGGGTGTTCACAGGTTGTAATAACAAAAAAACACGTGTTTGTTGTGTGTCTCTGTCCTCTGCAGTACGTGGAGGATCCGTCTTGCTTTCCTGAGCTGAATCCTATAACTCTGCTGGGACAGACCATGTGTGGCCTCTCACACCTCCACTCACTCAACATAGGTCTGAGATACACACACATACAGACTATACATGTACACACCTTTCTTTATTTGTTTCTAAATTATTTCCCCCAGAAACCAGTGCTGCTCAGCTTTGACAGCTAAAATGTTTCTCTGTGTTTCCCCTCTTCCTCTTTCTTCTTCGCTCTCCATCGTCTCTCCCTTTAGTCCATCGTGACCTGAAGCCTCGAAACATCCTCCTCTCTGGTCCCAGTGCGCTGGGTCGGGTCCGAGCTCTCATCTCTGACTTTGGACTCTGTAAGAAGATCCCAGCCGGTCGGAGCAGCTTCTCTTTGCGGTCAGGAATACCAGGAACCGAAGGGTGGATAGCTCCCGAAGTACTGCGGGATACTCCCGGCAACAAACCGGTAACATGCACACACACGTATTACATATGTAATATATATTTCTTTGAACACTCTGAAAGGGTCAGAGTTAGAAAAAATGAATAGGTGATGTAAGTAGCTTGAGGGTCTGTGATCCAGATATTTTTTCTGTCCTAAATTTACATACAAAACCGAAACTGAGCGGTCCCCAAGATTGAGGAACTCTGAGGTAGAGACGAGTATTTTGTTTGTATTTTCACGGACAGATTGTGTTTGTTTTCTGATCCATGTTTCTCCTCTTCTCTTCTCAGACGGCAGCTGTGGACGTCTTCTCGGCAGGCTGTGTGTTCTACTTCGTGGTCAGCAGGGGGCAGCACCCCTTTGGCGATTCATTTAGACGGCAGGTCAACATCCTGTCAGGAGAATATTCACTCTCGCATTTTATGGAGGATATACACGGTGAGAGCGGTCTTTGTGCATTACGTCTTCACTGGCTTCAGTTCATACCCTTTTTTTGGTCCAGAATTAAGTCTAGTTCAGTAAATTCCAGCCTTGCACCACCATCTTCAAATCACACCTCAACAATCCAACTTCTTTCCAAATATCCTCAGTGCTCCGGGGTTTTCTTGCTACAAATTCCTTAAATAATCAGTTTTTTATGGTTTCCATGCAATTTTCAGACATTACCGTAATTGCACAATTACAATAATCACAAAATAATCTGCTCATGTCACAAATACAAGAAACCCTGAAAACTGTTTTGTCCCTCAAATCAGATGACGTCATAGCGCAGGATCTGATCGAGCAGATGATCAGTGCCGAGGCCGAGTCGCGGCCCTCCACCGCCTGTGTGCTCAAACATCCGTTCTTCTGGAGCCCCGAGAAGCAGCTGCTCTTTTTCCAGGTGTGTTAAATCTGTTGGCCACGGAGACACAAATCAAGCTGTGTCGGCTGTCTCTCTTGATTAGTAAACTTTGTTTGATATGGACAAGTTAAAGTAGCATCAACATACATGTAGGCCCAGATTCACTGTGTTTAGTGCTTATTTACAACACCTGTCCACAGGAGGCTTTTTTTAATGACTACTTGTCATTACTTTCTGGTTTAAAAATTCCTATTTTTTCTGATAAACACAGAGCAAAAAATGTGCAAACGGGGGTCTGAGTGTGTTTGTGTGCGTTGGTACGTAGGACGTGAGTGACCGAATAGAGAAGGAACCAGCAGACAGTCCGATCGTGGTCAAAATGGAGACTGCAGGGAGAGTAGTGGTTCGAACCAACTGGAGGATGCACATCTCTGTGCCGCTGCAGACAGGTACACGCATCGCATCACATTACTGCACTGTTTGCACCTGTGCGGGATGACAAAGCCGTCAAATGGTCTGTAATCTCCCTGTGTACGTTGCAGACTTGAGGCGGTTCAGGACATACAAAGGGAACTCGGTCAGAGATCTGCTGAGAGCCATGAGGAATAAGGTCAGCATGCTTACTGGAACTCTTCTATTTATTTGACACAAGTAGTCACGCTTTGACGCGTGTATGTTGACGCGTTACAGAAGCATCACTACCACGAGTTGCCACCGGAGGTGCAGGAGGCTCTCGGCGAGCTGCCCGAAGGCTTCGTCAGCTACTTCACCTCACGCTTTCCACGGTTACTGATGCACACACACGCTGCTCTGCACATCTGCTCCCACGAGAGACTGTTTCACCCCTACTATCTACCCCCCCACTCCAAATAGCAATAACACGACCCTGCACATTATACTCTGTATACACACTGATGTACAGAAAGTGCCCTTTATTGCTTTTGTAAAGCCCGCACTGTTTTTTGGTACAGTGCTGTGAGAAAGTTTTTATATGGCTTGAGCTGTTTTATAGATTTATTTTTATTTTTCTGCAGCTGTTGATCAGGAAACGGTTTTAAGATTAAATTAGAAAGTACACTCCACTAAAGCTACATACTTTATTATAATAAACAATGTTTTTGAACTACATCTTAACTTGTAACTCCATCAGAATTTTTGTATTCAATTAAATGCAATAGTTCATCAATGTGTTTCCTCTAAACAACTACTGTAGAAAATCAATGCTTAGTTTCAGGTGATTTTACACAAATTATAACAGTTATGACTATTATATTCCATTTCTATAGAAAGACAAAACAAAAGGACAGAGAGGGGTATGACATGCAACAATTTCATTTTCAAAAGTTTGTCTAAAATTTAGATAATGTTATTTAATATGACATTAAACTAATAGGAAAATGTAATTTATTTTCTGATGACATTCTGGGCATATCGTGGAAGGTGATGTTCACCTATTAATAGCTCTGGGGTCCAGATTAAACGGCACCACAAACCATATGCGAGGTGCACAAACTTTGTCACAGCACTGTAGGTAACACAGACACTGGACTACAGGTTTTTATAAGAGATAAAGCTTGTGTTGCTGTTCCAAGGCTTCATGTCATAGAAGAAATCTCTGCTATCCTTTTTAAACAGTCACGTTGCTGCTGTGCTTCTCTCAGCTCCTCTGTAGGCCGTGCCAAAGACTCCACAATATTTGCTTTGCTGTTTGTTTTTATGTATTTGATGTGTGTCCGAATGTATCTACACTGACTGAAGAATGTACTGCGCCATCGTTTCTCACTGAAAGCAGTACATGAAGCGCAATAGTCAAATATTGGCTCTGTTAAAACGTGGGCGGGTTCTGGGTAAATCAGATTGATGCAGGCGATAATGCAACAATGGCAACTACTTAATTTGCCAATTTCATTTCAATGTATAGATCTTTTCAACAGAAATGCAATGTATTTCACCACTCCTGAATGTTGGCATTGCTTGATCTTTTGAGCCTCTTTTCAAATGACACTAAATGCTCTCAGAGATATGTGAAGTGTCTCCCTGTAACTACTGGATGAAGGTTTTTTTCATTGGTCTGCAGTAGAATGAATGATGACGAATCCAAACTTTTGTACTTTTTTGTGAATGAGTGAATTGAACTGATGCTTTGGGTGTGCCAGAGAATTAATAAATCAAGTGTTGTTAGTTTGTAAATTTAAAAAAAAGTTTTTATTGGTCTTTACTCTTCTTAGTTTCCATGTTACTGGAAAGAAGAAAGTGACAAACATTTTATTGACTTTATTGTTGGACAAATGTAGAGTATGAGACAATGGGTAAGACTTGAAAGTACAACTTAAAATGCTTACTTGGGGGGATGGGGTCCTGCAGAACATGAACACACAACTTTAGCCTGGTTTTGATGATCTCACATGAGAGATTTCTGCATTCCTGCTTTTGTTTGAGCTCTCTCTGGTGTGAAGGACGGATGGGCTCAGTTGGAAAAATATGATGTATGATAATCAGGATTTAGAAAAATTTGAATCGCATATAATGACAGTGTTAAATATTGATAATAACTAATCACCCCCCCCAACAAAAACTTTCACTTTGATTGTTGCTTATTATGAATATTTGATGTTAAACAGAAATACTTTTGAACATTTCTTTTCAAAAATCTACTTCTCCTCTACTGTAGAAAAAAAAGATTGATTAATCTAGAATAACATGAATATTTGCCCCTCTAAGAGACCTTTTTATATTTAATCAGGTGAGTCATTAAGAACAAATTATTATTTACAATAGCGACCTGGCTTTTAAAATGTACAATAGTAGATCAAATATTTATGACATAAAATTACCATAAATACATTAAATCACAATACAACATTTCGATTTTGTCAGGACATGATATCAACTGCATGTCAGTTAACAAATACTGTGAGTCTGTAACCGTTTTACGAAGTCCAGTTCTACATTGTTCAGTTTGACTTTTTTCCTCTCGTTAGATAAAATGTCTCCACTTTCTCTTCTCACCCTGGAGGTTTAGTTTAGACATGGCCGTTAGTTTTAGCCGACTGTGCACTCGAAGGATAACACTTCTTACCTCATCCGTTAGCTTCAGCCGACAAAGATGCATGAAACACTGCACGCAGAACAGAATATTCAGGTGTTACAGTAGAGTTGCTGCAGGATTGACTAGATTTGATTAAACCCCTATTTCTCAGTGATCAACGGTAACCAGGAGATAAATTAAGGTCTTAATTGCGAAGATGTGTGGTATAGTTGTCTCACCTAATTGCAGCTTGTTATTTCCATCAGGTGGAGAGAAAAGCCTCATGCTGTTAGTGTTGGAACTGTACGAATAATGGTGTTTGCATGTAATTGAAAGAGTAAATGATGCATTAGTAATGATGCACTCTGAGACATTAACTACGCTACGTGAGACTTGACATTTTAAATCTGATCTTGTTTCTTCTCTCGACCGTAAAACAACCGCTTTAACACAATCTGAGTGTACTTTCCCTCCTGCCAGCCAGATGTCAAAGACTCTTTAACAGCTGCTTTTATATATACATTCATTTAAAACCCACTAATTCACGACATAGTCTGTATTGAACAATAGCGGCCTGATGACCAGGATCATGCTGTTGAGTTTTATCAGAAAAGAGTGACTTACTCGTGATGACAGGTCACACGTTCTCTGACGGGAACACAGAGGATGTTGAGTTTAGGTTTGAATGGGTCAGATGCATGTGATCTGTGAGTGCAGCCATGATGTATGTTTGACCCACTCACAAACTAAATTGTTCAATCTGGATAAGTATATTTATCCAGAAAACACGTCAAGGAATTGATTTTTTTGTCGCCAGAAATCCCAAATATTAGATTTATTATTTTATTTCAATTTCTTTATATTTTATTCTCTCCTCGTGCATTTGCCATTTAATTGTAGTTTATCCCAAGTCGTTCCTCTATTTGGTGACTGTTAACTATAAAATCATGAGGGGTTATGTTTTATTGTTTTTGTAAATTAAATTTGACAAACAATCACTTTAATACTTAAGTATTTTTGAGTTTTTTGAGTTTGACAGGGAGTGCAGCGTCACTGTAGATCAAAATGTTTAAGTGCATTGCTCATGTTACACCAGCAGAGGGACACATGTGCCTTTCTTGTAAAGCGTGAAAGTATGGAGGAGGAGATGGACAAACAGTGGGTTTAACTGTTTAATCTATCGTTTACATAAATTCAATTTAATTATTGTAAGAGGCATAAAGTAAAAGTTTTGCGATTATGTAAGCATGCATGTGTAGTTGTGCTTATCGTCATCTATCTGTTGTGCTCATTAACAAGCAATCTGCCCTCGAGGCTCTGCAGCAAAAGAGAAAACACATCCTGCAGAGCCGATTAGATGCCAGACATCAAAGTTGATTCCACTGTCAGTGTGAACTAAAACAGAAGTGGTTTAATGACGTGACGGCCTGCGGTCCAGTGATGTGTCAGGGCCAAATCATCAGCTAATGAACCCCTAGTTGTTTATACTTCAATGTATGATTCAAATGTTTGGTTAGCTCCCACCCTGTGTGTGTGTGTGTGTGTGTGTGTGTGTGTGTGTGTGTGTGTGTGTGTGTGTGTGTGTCTGTCTGTCTCAGGGCCAGAAACCGAAGGAGTACTTTGGCTCATTATTAAATATCAGAGTTCAGACGTAGGTCCAATCAAAACAGCCTTAGGGGAAACATCACACATTCACACACGCATTGCTATACAGATAAGGAAGGTATAGTGTGCTGGCACTCAAGTGTATACTGGACTAGTCAACATGCATTTCTTATTTCAGTTATACCTCTAACGTCTATTAATCCTCTGTAATAATATTAATACAGACTTCAAATACAGAGAGGCTACATCTGAATGTGTGTGGGCTTGCTGACTAAGCAACCGGCTTCGGCTAGTATTACAGTGAGGTCTTGCTTAATAGTCTGTAGATCATTGCCAAGTGATTGTCAAGCGTTGCTAGATGTTTCAAATTTGGGTTTTGCTCGGTGGTCGTTCAGTGTCGCGGCATTATATACAAGGTGGTTTGTTGTGTGTTTAAAGGTGGCTGCTAGGGGATTTCTATGGTTTTTGGGGTGGTTGCAGGTGTGTTCATAAAAAGTTAATGCGTTTGTTTTTCAAGTTTTCTGTGTGTGAACAATGTAGCTTTAAGTCCAAAGACATGGTTTTGTTAAGGGCCATATATTAAATTGAACACTCACACATTAATATAGGCCACACAACACACACACACACACAGTGTGGTGCAACTTCAGGACAAAATGTCCCGGGTCTCTCTGCCTCTATAAACGGCTTCCTCATGTTTCAGAGACCACTGGGGATATATTTTTCTGCTCCCTGCTTTCCCCCTCTCATCTCCTTTGTAGGATACCGCGGGAGGCTGGTTTGGGTTTCTCTGATCTGTGTGTGTGTGCGTGTGTGTGTGTGGGTGTAGAGGGAGGGAGGGGGAGACTGAAACAGGCGGAGGGATGTCGTTCTTTACAGTCTCTCCATTTTGGGATCAGGACAGGAAGTGGGCTCAACAGAGGAAACATGACCTCTCTCCCTCCTCCCTCCCTCCCTCTATCCTCTTACTTTTTTCTTGTATTCTCTCTTCCTCCCTTTGTCTGTCCCTCCCCCAATCCGTGCCTTCCCACTCACAGGGTCATTTCTGCCTTTTTTTGGTTGCAGAGATCCCGTACATGCTGTTGCTTGCCTGTAGACCTTGATTTGCATTCTACTTGCTTCCTGTGTACGTAAATCTATGCTAACCAGTGATTTCTAAACACTCTGGTCTAGTTGTTTCTGGGCTCCCTCCCTCTCTCTTGAGACGTGCAGTCTGTTATGTATCAGAGCTCCTCTGATTAAAAGCCAAAGCAAAGGTCAGACTCTGCTGGGTAACAGCGATACTGCCAGACTTCAGCTTTGCTGTTGTGCCCAGCGGTGTGATAGCTCGAGCTGATGAGCATCATATTACATTATGTGGAATGAAAGCCAATACGGTTAGCCTGCAGGCTTTACATCAGTACTTATCAGCTCTCTGCTTTCTGGCTTTGCAAAGAGGGCTTCTCATGTTCATAAAACTGCCCCGGGACATTAGAAAAACATATTGAATTTATTGAATTTAGCTCAAAACATTTTTTTATTTTGTATTAATCCTCTGCTTTCTCCCTCCGCTCTTCTAATCTTTCAACAACTTTCCAACACAGAAAGTTTTGACCTCTTGCTTTGCCGTATACACACGCAGACGCCCACACACTGAGAAAATAAAAAAACAACATGTCAGCAAACGGCAGTGTATTTCACCACAGAGCACAAAGCCAAGGCACTGGGAAACAAAACAAAAACAAAAAAACCCAACAAAAGCAGAAGACCTCCCTCTTCTCATTCTGCCCGCCATGTCTGCCGTTCATCTTGTTTGTTTCATGTTCCCCAGACGTTTTCCTTTCTGGTTGTTTTCTCACGGACGCATCCAGTGCAATGACGACACTTACAAAAAACAAAACAAAAAAACTTGCGTGAGTGGTAAAGGTAGGTTAGTTAACGACAAATGTTACAGCAACGTTACAGTTACAGTGATACTGTTAGACAGAGTGGTGTTTGTATTGTCCGGTTACCATCTTACACACAGTGTCAGTCAAATACTTACAGTATTCTCTGTACAAGATGTATGAACATGCACAAAAAGGGCCTTAAGTCACTATGCAAATACATACAAATTACCGGTACACAGTATTATAATAATAATAATAATAATAATAATAATAATAAGGCGTGTGGAAGTGCTCATGATCCGCCTCATTCCCCTCGAGGCCATTTGGGCTTAATACTCAGTGTGGGAGGAGCAGCCCAGCTGTGTCCTACTGCTGCGTACCAAATCATGCAAATGTTGGGAATCAAACATTTTCTTTTCGTCAATTCTCCGCTTGACAACATGTAAACTGATTGGAAGGATATGGGTTGAAAGGATTTTGGAGATGCATGTTTCTGGTTGGCTGGCAGGTATTCAATAAAATCATATAACAGGACATCTGAGACAGAGTTCTGATCAACAGTTTAACCACCAAACTGCAAGTAAACATAGCAACAGGACTATTTCTTTATGCTACATTACCAGCTGACTGTCACTGGTGAAATAGGGCTGCACCTAGTGATTACTTTCATTACTTATTAATCTCTTGGTTATTGTTTTTAGGCCAAAAGCTGTGGACACGCAACATCAAGACACACACAGAGTAGCCACTTTATTAGGTACACCTTTCTAATTCTTGGTAGGACCCAGAACAGCCTGAATTCTTTGAGGCATGCACTCAACAAGGTGCTGGAGACAATGTACCTGATAAAGTGGCCACTGAGTGTGTTATCAGTCGATATGAAGAGTGTTTTGGAGAACGTTTATAGTCGTGTTTCTGGTCTCAACCAACTCTTGAGGAACATATCTGCCTCTTTAGCTGCTAGATGCTCCACTGTGTTCACCAGCTAACTGCTAGCAGTGTCTGTCGGTTGTTTGGAGCTGGACAGGAAGTGTGAAGTGGTTTTGAGGGAACTAAGTTGCCGGCTGTAAAACCAAAACATTTAGCTGAAAGACACTAAAACGTTCTATAAAGTTCAGGGCGATAATTCCCTGTGGGTTCATCGCTAACGACAACCCCTTTCACATTAAACAGTCCTTTTTTTTTTTTTTTTTTTTTTTTTTTTCATTGTTGAACAGCGTCAGAAAATAGTAAACACTAGCCAACGTCTTTAAATGACTTGCTTCGCCCAACAAACAGTCCAAAATTCAAACACAATGATATAACACAGGAAAAAACAGCAAACTGTTGCATTTGAGAAGCTGGAACCAGCATGTTTGCTTGATAAATGACAATCAATTGATGATCAAAAATGTTGCTGACTGACTAATTGATTAATCAAGTAGCTGTTGCAGCACTAGACCGAAACATACAAATGTTATAAAACCGTTTTTTTCCTACGGTAACTCGAAGGTGTATAGAAAGTACCAGACTCGGTGCAGGAAAGAAAGCGATTGTGTATCATCTGCGTAAGTGTTTTTGTTCAATCTGGTGTGTTTGACTTGTTTTGTGCTAATCTTCTCGGCACAATTCCCATTGTGACTGCTACAGAAGTCCAAAATGGCCGCCCGCAACATGGTAACTAGGTCATTTACAGTTCAACCCTGTCAGTCTCTGCTCTTCCCTTCACGTTTACAGAACAAAAAAAACTATTAGTGTAGCCGCATACCAGAGCCTTCTTGTAAAGGGGATACTTATCATATACCTCAAGTTAAGTCTAGGCTGTTGTGGTACTTTTACTGGGATGTTAGCGGGAAATAGAAGAAAGGCAGTGGGATAGAGATGGGCCATAATTCAGGCAAGACCAGGAGCTGTGTGTTTCTGTGTTTCTTCAAACTAAGGAGAGTCTCTAATTTGACCGTCTCCCATTTCTGCTGGAGAGGGAGGAGACGAACAGTCCGTCTATTGTGCTGCAGAGGAGAGTTGTAGGATAAGACTTGCTATCTGCAGCTGTTCGTCTCTTGTACGATGGCGGGAGTAATAAACACAAGAGGTAAAAGATAGGCAGCCCAGGAGAAAACAGGGAGCATGAGAGAGAGAGAGAGACTCATCTTTTTTTCCTCTGTTAAAGTTCACTGACAGGAACACTTGTGCTTATCACATAACACAGCATATGACCAGTATGAGCCCAAACCCTCACCCCGCTCCCTCTGTCACGTGGACACTAGGACAAGGCATTCTTCAGCACGCTCTTAACTTTCCTAAATCCTTCCTGCCTCCTGCTTTTTGCTCACACAGCTTGATCCTGCCTCACCTCACCCGGCAGCAGTCTGACTTTTATGTTTAGTGACAGGGTTGTCAATAGTCATATAGAAAAAAAAAACACTTTCAGTGCTCATGTCATGTAGTTGGTGCTTTTCTCTATTTGTCTCTTCTTTTGTTAAAAACATTTTCTAACCTGTATATGAAGGCGAGAACACCACAGCTACAAGGAGGTGACTGTCTTTCCAGCACACACACACACACACACACACACATACACACACACATTCATACAGGTTATATTCAGGGTCTTGTCCTCTACGACCCTCACAGTTTCCACAGGGGCCAACAGGTCCAGAGTCACATCGGGGCCCCACAGGTTCAGAGTTCAGTTAAATCCACCAACTCCTCCACAGGACAGTGTTAATTATGCGCTTGTGGGCTGCTGCGTCCTCCAGGCCCGGATTCACGGCTTGTTTCACAGTTTACAGTCAAGAGAAGCCGTCGTCTGCAGCCCGAAGGTCACTGCAGCATGATATCTTTGAGGTTTTCCTGCAGGATGGTGTCCTTGACGGCGTGAAAGACAAAGCGGATATTTTCTGTGTCCACCGCAGTGGTGAAGTGGTGGAAGAGCGGCTTCCCCCGGTTTCTCCTCTTGCGGCTGAACGACTGCACCAGGAACGCCTGGAAGGAGCAGAGCAGGGACACTTTAGTAACCGGAGAGAGAGTCGATCTCTCTGCAGGGTTACCAGGTTTCTAATCTGCTTTTTACCATTTGCACTGAAAACAAAAGCCATGCGGTGTCTTCTTGTCTCCTCTCACTGCACCGTCACCCCCTCACAAACACACTCCCCTAATATTTTAGTCATGAGGCCTTGTATTGGGTTACTACTACATTTAAAAACCAAAAAAGAAGTGAATCCCAAGCTATGGAATGACCTGCTGCGCGAATGCTGCAATCCAACACATCATGACCCAACATCCTCACTTCGTTTCATCAACCTTAAAAAAGGTAGGTCTCATCAGAGGAGGTGATATTCCAAAATATCTTGCAAACTGAGTGAGTGAGTTTGAGAGTGAAACTCCACAGGGCTTGATTAACTCCATGGTGTGGCACCTTTCTCTACTTTTCAACTGATTTGTATTTTTGCGGTTGAGCACCCAATTGGAACGCACACTTGCTGCCTTTGTTTGGATTACTGTGATTTCTTGCGTGCACGTAAACGCACTGCTGAACGAGAGCCCGTGTTTGTGTGTAATGTGTACACGCTCATTTCCGTAATGTATGTGTGTGAGTGCATGGAAGCACACCTGGATCATAAACCTATAGGAGGAAAATAAGAAGCAGCAGCAAAATAACCATCAGCAGAAATGAGTTTGGTGCCTCGTAATGTTTGACAACATTAAAAACCTGTGTTTTCAGTGTGTGTGTGTGTGTGTGTGTGTGTGTGTGTGTGTGTGTGTGTGTGTTTACCTGTACATCCTCTAGCCTGCGTGGGTCCCCTCTGAACTCGGGGAAGTTCTTGCGGATGTCCACTGTGCGGATCTTTTCCACCAGCAGGTCTGTTTTGTTGAGGAAGAGGATGATGGACACGTTGAGAAAGAGCTTGTTGTTGACGATCGTCTCAAAGATATTCATGCTCTCCACCAAACGGTTTGTCCTTCGATCCTCCATCAAGACCTGGAATCGGACGGACGTACACACACACACACACGCACACAATTATCCTTTGTTTTTTTTTCAGGCTTTATCTGAGCACCAATTAAGGATTCAGTCGTCATCATATGACCGTTGATGTGAACCGGAGCCACGACTGAGGGAACAATCAAGTTCCCTCAGCCAACCACAAAGAGAGCTTTGTGTAAATCTCGAATGCTGTCTCTCTGATGCTTCTTGTTAAAGTCAAGAGAATATTGATCAGACTGAGTAACTTCATACAGACATCGGCGTTACATGATCGGAAATGTGCTTGAAAGTTACCTGATCGTACTCTGACGATGACACCATGAAGAGTATCGATGTGATCCCGTCGAAACACTGAAACCACTTCTGCCTCTGGGACCGCTGCCCCCCGACGTCCACCATCTTGAAAGGGATCTTCTTGATGACAAAGTCGTGCTCGACGATGCCTTTCGTCGCCTTCCTCGCAAACAGAATGTCCTGCTTGCTTGGGATGAAGTTCTGAAAAAGAGGAGACAAAACATTTTGTTAGACGCCGCAAGAGGTGAAGAAATTCAAAGAGATTTTATCGAGTCACTGTGACTCACCAGTTGACCAATCCGATCCAAGTTATCCAGGAAGTATTTGACCGACTCGCTCTGCAGGCAGGAAGAAGAGAAAATTCATTACAGAATGCAAAATGAAACTCATCACAGGTGTAAAACAACCCGTCCGGGTCAAATTGAACCATGGTGCGGTTTGTTTCCAGTGTGAAGCATTTTTTTGGATGGGTCTGACTAATTATAGGAAGTGCTGGCAGGCCAATCAATGTCTAGTACAGGGAGATGCAGCTCATGTAGGTGATGACAACATGAAGTCATGTGATACCAGATTAAATGAGGGCTATAATCTAACAAAACATCAGCCTTTGATCGGACTTTCAGATGTAAAAAGTACAATTGTCATCAACCCAACTAAAAAGAACCAAATGATCAAATTAAAGCACTGAAACTTAATAGTAGAACATTTTATTTATTGTATTTCTTTTTCATTTGATTCACATTTCATGGAAGCAGACGTACTGTGGTTATTGATTTAATCATACATCAATCCATTGCGTCTTCCCAATCAGATGAAAAGGACAGAATGCACGAAACTAACATCGCCAACCATAATCACATCAGTCTCATTATGATTTAACTTGCACACTCTGCTGCTTGTAAAGCTACTTTCATGGACAGCATCGACTCACAGCACAGTATTGTGAAGCGAAGTGATTCAAGTGAGATAACGATCATTGTGTTTATGTGACCCATAGTTTTTATTGTGTTGTCTCATAATCACAAAGAGTGTGCTTGTTAGCATTGCCACAGAAACAGACAGGATTCTCCGAAGTCCTGTAATCTGACATGAGAGCCGCACTAATCAATAGTCCTACATTAACTATGGGGTGATTTAAAAGGAGCTTCTTGGAGTTACAAACCTGCACCTGACTCCTCTCAGATCTACAGAGCATGTAACTGTCTTTAAGAGAATTATTTGTTTTTTCTGGCCCACTAAGTCTACTAGCTTATTCTCTTTCGAACTTTTAGAGAAGCCCAGAGAAATCTTTTCTCTGCTGATACCGATTGCTGATCGTCAACGAAAAATCATCTCAACAACCCAGAAGTCAGTGCAAACCGTCAAAAGTTCTAAATGTTATTATAGTTATGGTCATCTATGGTTGTTACTTGCATAAAAACACAGAATTTAAACTATTACGGAATATAAGATTGTATTTTCACGCCATTAGATAGATACACCACTATCCAACATCCAACTCTATAACAATTTCATGTCTTGAAAATCAGAAACTCGCACTTGTGAACAAGAAGTGTGCAACACACTGGACGAGAAAGTAGAGCATGATTTAAGTTGCGCCACAAGGCAGCCACTGAAAATACGTTTTTGTGACTTTACGAGAACTTTACTTCATGACAAAGACGGTTCTGATTTCTGTCATTAAACATGTTCACAACAACACACCGGAGATTACGTAATCATTTATAAATTAGATTTTTGCTTGTCATTTTTGAATACACGCTGTAAAACTTAGACTTTTCATGCAGCAGTTGTGCTGAAAATCAATTAGCAGATTCTGGAAACTTGACACGTGTAATCGCATCACAGTGAACATAGAGTCTGCATTCATTTCTACAACTGCTTCACTGTTGACCAGTAACGTGGTTTATCATCAGTCTGATCTCCCCTCTAATGGATTATAAGGCGGCTAATTGATTTTCGTACTGTTTTGGAAATGAATGGAAACCAGTGGGCGCCTGAAACGAACAACAAAGGTGCACTCGGTTTTCTGAAGCACAGCAGCATGATTAGCAAAATGGTGTTCATGTTCATTTGTAGTGAATGTGCTGAAAGTTAAGCTTAATTCTTCTTTGCACTTGTGATTTCTGACGAGAGTTAAAACCTGAATCTCTCTCTTAAACACACACACACACACACACACATACATACATACATACATACATACATACATACATACAGGAAACAGCTGTGTGTGTGAAAACAGTGGGGAGAGACATGGGGGAGGGAGGGATTAGCGAGTCAGACAGAACCCAGTTACAATGTCTTTTTAACACACACACACACACACACACTTGAGCCTCACTACAGTTGATCAGTATTCCCCTTTAAACCAAAAACTTTGTAGATTTTTCGGTTCCCGTCACACTGATCCAACAGAATCGGTGAAAACTCAGTTAAATCCATCTCTGTCGGTCCCTGACATGCCGCGTAACAACCAGGAAACGCGACCCCCGTGTGGGTGAGATGTGACCCTGTGACCCCTCGCCGCTGACCTACAGTGTCGCAGCAATAGGAAACACAAAGCCGAGGGACTCTGATTGGTTCAGCTGGAAGTGAACAGGAGGAGGGGCTGGTCGGAGGGAAAAGCAGGGAGAGGGGAATTCCCAGAGATGAAGGGATACGCAAACACAGACAAGAGAAATAGACACACACACACCCCCCCCCACACACACACACACACACAGCCTGAACATTGATGAAGTGGAGGCATCAAACTAAATATCAAAGTTAATGAATTTTATGAGGCCATGGATGAGTTTTAGTCCCTTGTAATGCAGATCTATAACTTGTAAAACTGTGTGTGTGTGTGAGAGATTGAGTAAGGCTGGAGGAATGTCTCCATTCATGGTGTGTATGGGCAGATTAGGGGCTTTATTATAGCAAAGACCTGAATAAGCTCACATTGTGTGTATGTGTGGGGCCACAGGTATATGTGTGTCACTCGTGTGTGTGACTGGGTGTGCCACGACTGTTTGACTGCTGCAGTCGTTTCACTTCAAACTCTGATGTATTTTATTCATTAACTCACTGAATATAGAAAGTAAACATCTCTGGCTGTAACTATCAACTCTTTTTTTTATTATGGATGAATCTGTTGGTTATATCTCATTCATCATTTAGTCTATGAACTTTTGATCCCTAAAATGGCTTAAAACTAAATCAGTTTGAATTTGAAAGTATTCAGAACCCATAAGAAAATTAAAAAAACGTCATTAAATGCTATAAAAACTCAATACCTTGATTGAATAATCAGTCAACTAATTGTTTCGGCACTATACTATTCATACATGTATGTGTATGTTGTATGTTAGCTGTAATTGTGCTATAAGTGTGAATAATAATTATATAATTGTACCTAATTGCTGTTGATTGGATAACTTGTTGCAGTTGCGACAATCATCCCGATCAGTAACGACAACATCGTACAAGTTAATTGCTGAAATCTGGGACAAAATATGACTGAAAGAAGTCCGAACTGGTAAAGCAGGACCAGTCAAACATTCAGACCGGTTTTAAACAAACCTCAAGGTCAGTCAAAGTTATCTGGAAGAGAGAAAACGAAGGCGAACAGTAAAGTCACGACTAAAACTGTCTGTTGTAAACATCCATCGGTTTACAGACCGACTTCCTGGTTCAACTTTGACCTACTGGACTTTTAAAACTGCGTATGTTTCTTGACCAGATGCACTTTGTTGTGCTGATGTGGATGATGCAAAAACTAATAAATCCCAAATTTATCCTTCAGTACATATGATATTTCACATGCAGTTGCTATGGGAACGTAAGCACACACTTGAGGATGCTCGGAAATAAGAACCGAGAGACGTGGAGAAATACTTTTCCACTCTGGGAACACTTGTAGATAAAGTTACAGACTGTAAATACAGAAGAGCCAATGTTAACTCATGAAGTGCAGCAGCAGAGACTTCCAGGATGAAATCTCATATCCTCGACCATATGAGGGTGAGTGTGTGTGTGTGTGTGTGTTTCAGCATTTATAGCCTCTTTACATCTTTATGGGGCTTTAAAGTCACCTATACAGTATACGGTCTTTACTCATACCTCCTTTGTTCAGGATGCCTGTGCTGCTGAAGACAACAGCAACAGTTTACTGTCACAGCGTGATATACAGCCTTGTTTTCGTCAAGCAGCAGAGGTTTTGGTGTTTATGTCATATCTAACTGCGCGTTATCTGGGTGTGGTGGGATCCCGGAACGAGTAAACAAAATCCTTGCTCTCGGTTAGTTTTTTTTTTTTCTTTCTCTCACTATCTCCACTTTTCCTCCAATGCTCTTCTCTACTCCCCGCTCCCTCTCTTTCTTCCTCTCACCACTCTCTCTCTCTATCTCTCTCTCTCTCTCTTTTTGTTTCCTCCCTGTCAGCCGGTGGCTCAGCTCCAGCCCTGCCTGGGAAAAGCTGACTGTGGTATCCCCGGAAAACCTCTCAGAGAGCGGAGAGAAGAGGGGGGGAGGTGGAGAGCGTCTAACTCAGCACATTTACTCCACAGTAGACATTTTAGTTTTTCTTTCTTTGAAAAGGATACGGCTGGTGTGTTCTATATTTCTCTTATTGTCAACTAATCCCACGAAAACACCAAAACCATCAATGCGTTAGCCAAAGTCTCAATACTTTCCAGTTGTCCGTGACAAACTGCGATGAAAGTTGACACATGTCGAAAGAAACGTAAACACAGAAAGCAGTCGCTGGGTCAGCTGTCTGCTGTGCGTACGTTTCATTGATTGTGTGTGTGTGCACGCTGGAGGGGCCTTTTAATTTTAGGCGGAACAGAACAGAGTGAAACACTAGTTGACGCTTCACCGTGTTATTGAGCGAGCGCTGAAAAGAAATTGGGACCAGCTCAACTCAGTTACTAGCTTCATGTCACCGGCTTCCAGTGAAACTGACTTGCAGCCTGTTGTTGTGTCGCTCGAAGTGTGAACACAGCGTGAGTTTAATAGCTGGTTAAGAGCGAGACTCGTGCTGCTAAAGTCACATTTCTAGAGTTTCTACAACAGAGGGGCTGAGAGCAAAATTAGCATGACTAGCTAGTCAGTAACTACCTGCAACAAATAGCTTTTGTTTGAGTTCAGTTTGTTGGTTTGTTTGTCTGTTTGTCAGAAGGATTACGGAAAAACCACTGGCCCGATTTTCATAAACCTTGTCTGTTTGTTGTAGCTTGGGCCAAGAAAGAACCCATTAAAATCACGGGGCGGATGCTCACTTAATTATTAACGAATGGAAACGGCATTGGCAGAGGTCTGCGCTCTTCAAGAGCCTTACTAGTTTTAAAAATAGGACCCATGTTGAAAAAGACAAAATGGAGAAACAATGGAGATCTATGGCACGGAGGAATAAGGCTTAAAACTTAACTTAAACTGCATTTCAAACTTTGTATACATACATTCCATACATTAAATTTGACGTCATTCAACCCATCCTAAGCATTTAGTGAGCTGGTATAAAGGAACTTGCGGTTCAGGGTCTCAAGGACACTTTTGGCACACAGACGGTAGGAGCCGGGGATCGAACCTCCAACCTTGTGGTTAAAGGGCCCTACCCATTGAGCCACGGCCGCCCCGGCTTTTCATACACACAGACAACACTTGTTCAGTTTCTTGTTGGTTTTTAGTCTTTCCATGGAATAAGTTGACAGAAAGAAAAATAAAAAACATCACCACCCTTATCCTTTAAGCCAGGACAATGTCTGCGAGCCTGTGCCGCTGTACCGCACTAGCTTTATCATACAGCTACTCTTGATTAGACAAGGTCTGACCCAAAGCTGTGCACGGACATCTCACACACACACACACGCACACGCACACACACTCTTACAGTATGTTAAGTGAGAGGGAGACGGAAGTGGCTTCCTGGCTGACTCCAGATAGTTTTGCCACTGATAAATGTGTCGCAGGGTAAAAGGTCAAACGCACAGCTCTGGACAGAAGGTAGAGCGGCTGTGTCACTTCCAGTGACGCAGAAAATAAACCAGCTGCAACATCCGATACAAACTGCACTGACAACAAGACCAGCGAGTGATGCAGAGACGCTGTGAGACGTTCGCCGTGTTGACACTGAATGATCATCCGTGACATTCTGTTGAAACGTTAAGTGTCATAAACGGTCTGTCTGGCCTTTCACTTTGCACTTAAACAGTTACTTGTAAAACTAAGTGGTTCTCCAGCTGTTTCTGCTTTTATGTTTCATAATGATCTTTAAACTACAGTAAGTGGCTGCTTTAAACAAGTTTGTTTGGTTACCGGCAGAGAAAGAGTTGGTGTAAAACAGCGTTAGGTAATCTTAGTGTGCAGGAGAGTTTTATGGAGATGTTGAAGTGCCCTCTCTCATGCATGCTAAATCCCCTCTTTCACTGCCATTGGTGGTTATTTTTTGTAGTTTAATTGATATCTTTTTTTCCACCCGCCCCAAATTCAGCGAAAAACCCGCCATACTCTGCCTTTGATTGGCTAGTACTCGTTGCCAGAATTTAAGTTTATTGCCTTCTTGTATAGCGCTCTCGTATCTAATTACAATGTCATAATAATGGGAGGAAAATGTTTTTAGTTTTTTAAAATGTTGCTATATTTGTTGCCTATATGGATGGAATAAAATCATATGTTGGAGGTTTGAATTTTAATGTGGTGTCATAATTAAACTAAATGTTAAACCTAATGGTGATATGGCACACTGATTAACAAGAACATTTTAAAAAGCAGGAATATGTAACATATTTATATGAAATAATTAAGCATTTCAATATTTTATTTTTTTTGGTTTTTGGCCACTTGGCAGCAAGCTGTAAACTCAACATTGACACATGTGGAGTCGTGTTTCTGGCCAATATTCACTCATCTTTTAGTTAGTTTAGTCTGCTTTGACCTTACTTTCCATCTATTCCACACGATTAGTACGGTAAAAAGAGGATCAGTAACGTGTACAACGCACTGGTTTTGATCGGTATGTGTTTGATATATTCGGGTTAAAAGGGAAAAAGAATAACACTCTAATCTAAGAGCCGTTTGTTTCAGATTGAGTTCGGTGCAGCGTGACAGATTAAAATCCACAGGGCTCCACTTCACCGGCTCCATTTCCAGTCAAGAGAAGAATAATTACGTCTTTGTAAAGTCTCCAAACACAAAAACATGAGCGTGGTAAGTTACGCAGGAAAACAATAAATACCTCCACAGGCTTCTCTTGGTGCAGTTCTCCTTCACTGTGACAGGTAAAAAAAAAAACAACATTTCTGAAATCATCCAGTGACTTCCTCTGAAGTTGTGAGCATGTCACTTGTTGTCAACTTTGTGACTCCTGGCTGTGGTAAGTCAGTTGCTGTGCAGATATCTGCCAGTCTAGACTGCTAAACCCACACAGTGCCAGGTTTTTATTAAAGATTATTCTTTCACAGCTCACAGCAGAGTGAGACAGAAGTGATGGAGAGGAATGATGGGTTACAAAGGTCCTGAGCTCTATTCAGTTCCACGATGTTATTTGATGTGCTTTAAGGACAATCGGTTGACTTTATTTACTTCTTTGGCACCACATTGACACAGAAAAGGCAATATTACATTTTCAGCCTGAGAATCAAGTGGAGTCCTGATTAGTCATCCTGATATAGTTTTCTTTGGCTGCTGAGACACGTTAAATGTGAAGCATCAGCCAGTGAGTAATCTATGACTGATCATGACTCCTGGTCAGTGAATGAACCGGAGGCTGGTTTATAACACAGACACAGACAGTCATGGAAGATTATTTTTAAATATTTCACCATCAATACATACGTTTGGGACTTTCTATGTAGATACGTCAGAGCCTCGGACTGCTGCACGAGTCATTTAAGCACTTTTCAAGCCTTTTAAAAGCGCAATAAGCATGATTTATCTCATAAAAACGAAATGTATAGACTAATACAAAAACAATCCACCTCAGTCATCACATGTGACCCACTAGAAGTGTGTGGAAATGTCTGCAGACCCTTTGCCTGTATTCTCTTATTTTGTTGTGTTCGGGGCGTTTCTGGACGTCAACCTTTTTATAAAGATTTCGCGACCAAGTGCCAGATTGTAAGAGGAAGCTACAAACATGGGAGACACAGTGCCGAAAAACACAAATACAGCCAGTCGGAACGACAACCGCACAAAGCTCGTTCCAAAACGAGAGGGAATCGCATCCCTTAGCGACTTTCTTACTAGATTTAGCAACTTTTGGAGCTAGTTCTGCTTTTATTGGAAAAGAGTTGGTAACACTGGACTGAATATGTGAATTTTGGTTGAATGTTTAAAACTTAAAGCACAAGACATCTAAAATATTTTCCATTAGATGGAGTGGTGCATCAATGTCGACACTACATAGCCTCGACAAATCTACTCACCAGTTGGAACTCGGAGCGTCGTGCGTAGGCCTCGTGTATGCCGGTGTCGGCCCACAGCGCGCTCAGTGCCATCACGTACAGCTGAAACTCACTCGGCTCGACCCCCGAGCCGCCCACGCGTCCCTCCCACGACATCACCAGCATGCCCTGCTTCTCGTTCTCGCAGCTCTGCCAGCTGATGCCCAGCTTGTCCCGAGCGTCCACCAGCACACGCATGCCCTGCAGAGACACACAAATCAGTGCACATACATACATGTGGTGAAGTGGTGCAACGGCTGCTTTTTTTCTAATTCCAGCAATATTGTACAAATATTTCCTGACCACACGGAGGGGAAAAAAAACAACAACTAAAAACGTCATACTGCATGTGCTGCTTGCAGGGGAAACCGTTGACACAGTCTAGTGTTACTGGTAAACATTGAGTAACTTTAACCGTGCATGTGTCCAACACGCACACTCAGACACGTGCATGTGTGGCTGCTGGTGGTTTTCTGTTCTGTGTGGGAGGTCTCCTGCTGAGTGATCAAACCAACCAACACACACACACACAGACAGATATTCTATGTTTTCTCTCTGCTTCTCCTTTTCTCATATACACTTCCTTGTAAATACTTCCTTTTAATCATTCGAATTCAGCATCTCAATTTGTTTGCCGGCAAAGTTGGTCTATTTTGTGTGACCGTTTTTATTTGTAACTCATTACCTATAGCATTTTTAACATTGTTTCTTAGTCAATTTTCCTGCTTGTTTATCTTTCTCTTTGCTTGCTTTTTTGTGGCCTAATAATTGACTCCGATGTGAAGCACATTCCACAGCATCTTAAAGTTCAGAGTCTGCTGTATTATTAAAGCCTGTTTGCTTGATTTATTGATTGAATCAACAGAGGACAGAGCAGCAAGCAGTATTATTGAACTACGACGCGTTTGAAAGGTCACAGTAGGTTAAGGGATGTGAGTATCTGTCTGTGTGTCAATGAGTCACCTTACCCTTGTGCAATAGCCAAGTCTAGTCAACTTTATTTGTACAGCTTAATCTCGCATTGAAAGAGGCTTTACAGGCCCACAACATGAACAGCCGCCAACCCAGCTCAACCTCGTTTCTACAAAGACGAGGAAAATCCAGAAAAATCTGAAAGAAATCCTAGACAAGGAAGTTCAAAGAGAGATTCCCCCCTCTTAAGATAGATGTCTGTGCAACAGGAGGTGTGGGTGTGAAAAAAAAAGCAAGTGCAGTAAAATAAAAGGAAGACGTGACAGTTTGTGAAATGCATGCAGCTTCTACAGTGTGTGTGTGTGTGTGTGTGTGTGTGTGGGGTGTGTGAGCTTGTCTGTGTGCAGTCTGTGTGCAGTCTGACTGGGATTCTACTTTGTGACTAACTGGTGTGTTATTAAATCTGATCCCTCATTCAGAACTTTTCTTTTCAGAATTGATGTTTTTTGTTTTTACGGTAGGAATGAGTAAGACTGACAAAACTGGTGTGTAACACAAAGACACACATGTGACCGTAATCTGACCCACATGCGGATCAAACGGCAGCATGTTGGCAGTAAAAATACTGATGGAGAGTCACTGTGTGTGAGCTTTGAGTCACATCCACTCTTGATTATTGTCTATGTAATCATCTACCAACCTGAACCGTATCAATGTACTACTCTGTGTATTTGTAGCATGACCCTCTATAGTCTTGTTTGTCTCACTTCCTGTATGAGCGCATGTTCCTCTGTGTTCCTGCTGGTCAGACAGTCTGTTTGTCCTCCTTGTCTGTCTTTAACAAGTCAGTTAGTGTGTATCAATTCAGCCTGTCTGCATTTCTACACCAAATAGCGGAACAAGGGTTGAGCGCCTTCTCGGTAGCTGAAGTGGTTACAGCGCATGCAAAGCTACGGCAACACACAGGGTTCAACTCTAGTCTAGCCCTTCTCTCTCTGTCGCACTCATTTCTACACCGTCAAATAAAAGTGTAAATGTGAATGTTGTGCTTTGCAGTGTAATCATCTGTCCAGCGCAAAGACACCGGGATATTTTCCATCCCTCCTATTTGTTTGTTGTTCAGGTTCATATGGTTCTTTGTCAGTTGAATCAACCTCTACATTTGTTTGTGATGTTGTCAGGTTAGTCAAACTTTTTGCACCACAGTTTAACAACTTGATTTCTTTTTCCTTTTCCTTTGGGGTGGATGTTTTGCTGTTTGCTGTCCCTACTTTTTATTTGTTAAAGGCCGAGAATTGGTTGCCAATTTCTAAAAACAACCTGGCAACCCTTACTGTCGAGCCCTGTTGGCATTCTCAGTATGTAGCTTTACAGATAAATGGGCCGTACATAAATGCCTTAACCTTTATCCTGGTGGATTATTATCCAATTTCACAACTCCAGTATAGTTCACCATTATCATAGTTTAACACCGGTAATTAAACTTTTCCATCTGTTTTAAGGAGGACTTGGTGATGACTTTATGAGCTGATAAGGACCAGATGAATGCTACATTTGTTTTGGTCTCTGAGGCCTTAGGTTTTCTCTGAGGACACACTCACATTGACTGGGTCCTTTGAAAGACGGAGCCTCAGCCTGTAATAGGCGGGTTGTACTTCAAAAGAAGTGGTTTGTTGGAGTTGCTGTGTTTCAAATCAAAAGTTAATCGAGGGTGTTAATAAAGTGTTGCTATCCGAGCCAAGCGGCCACACTCGAAGGTCGTGAAAAGCCGCCCGTCATCGCGATTGGTTGTTCACATGAAAATTGACAGAAATAGTTGTGCCAAGAATGAAAAAACACAAAAGACGAGCTCCTGGTATTTGTCTTTTGTGTCACTGGCGCCAACCACATGGGGCTAGAAAAACATAAAAATCTGATCTCTGAACTGAAGACCTGTATCCTCACAGTAGTGACGTGGTCAATGGTATTATTAGCAGTCGCCTACGGAGGCAGCTGGCTGGGACTGAAAAGCTCTGTTTCATTTATCACTATTGTGTAATTACAAAGTAGCTCCCTTCCTGCTTTCTGGATGTCCGCCCCATCAGCTGCACAACCCCCCTCCTTAAACATGGTGCCGGTGTTTCTCGCCCCCACAATCCCAGTAGACGTCAAAAACTGTCAAAATACAGCTAAAGGCAGATAACCAGCGCCTTTTCCCCCTGACCTGAACAAACAAGCATTAAGTAGTAAATGATCTCTTCAATCTGTACAACTCAATCAGTACAAACTGTGCTGAGACCCACAGAACTTTATTTGAAATTCTTATCATGACCACAATGTACAGATGCACCGCTCATCGTCCCGGATAATAACGTCAACCAGCCCAAAGTCAGTACAAACCATTAAAAGTCATAAATGTTATCCTTATACTTTGTTATTGTCATCGTTTTAAACAAACAATTATAAGCAAATATCACTTTTATATTTGTAGCCCGATGAAACAAAAAATAAATATAAATGATCTCGCTAATAAAGAAAGTACCGTATGTGAAACCGTGGAATCTGAAGATTTCTTTTAACCTTAAGGCCAGTAGGCGATTTAAGGAAAGGGTGCCGCCCCCCTTCTTACATTACCAAAAAGCAAAATTCCCCTAGTTAACCTGCCATCCCCCCCCTCTCAAACTCCTTGTAGCAGAGAGAGTGCAGCAACAGAGGGGCTGTTTAGTTGAATATGTTAGTCCTGTCGGTCTGACTCATTGATCATTTATCTGACTGAGGTTTGTGCAAGTTACAAAATACCACCAGCCTCACAGGTGGTGGTGAACAAAAAACAATCGATCCGCCCCTCTTGTTGAAAATGAACTAATCGCTTGGGTTATCTCCCCTGATTGATTAGTGTTTGAAAGACTTGGTTAAGCAGTAATGATAGACAAACAATGACAATCAGAGATAAAACCTCCAAACCATCGTGTGCTCAATCTATATAAAGTGGATGAAAACTAACAAGTCTTTATTGTTGTTGTTGTTCTGGTACAGCTTGGGAATTAGTGGCTATAAGGTTGTTCAGAAACCTACACTTTATGTTCAAGGCTTGACACAGTTCTTTAGTTTCACTTCGTGAGAAATAAATAAATCCACTTTGAGGATAAGAGCAGATTTATCCGTTAGCGGAGGTGTAATTACTGCGATTGAAGAAGCGGCACCAAACCTGGTCTACACCTCTATGTTACTTGTTTTTTTAAGCCTAATTGTGCAACACACCTGTGGGTTCTCTTTCAACTTCATCCCTCCTTAACTTCCTGCTTTGTTCTCTTTCTTTATCATTAGGTTCCCATGAAGGGAGGGGGGTCCTCTACACCCGGCAGGTGAGGCTGTGTGTTCAGGTAACATCCCACTTAATACACCAACACTTCTCAGCTTGTTTCAGCATTTACAAATGTCACGTGAAGTACTTCTTAGCCGTTTCTAAGGGAATTTTGATACAACTTTTCATTATTGTCAGAGATTTTATAGTCCCAATAAGTATCAATTAGTCAAGAAAATGATTTACCAATTAATCATAATGGATATAATCATCTGATTGTTGTTTGCTGCTTTTCTCTCCCGGTTCCATTGTAATGTAAACTGAATACTTTGGGCTTTTGGCTTGGACAAAACAAGTAATTAGAAGATGTCACTTTCGACATCTGCCACCATTGACATTTTATAGACCACGTGATTAATGTGATTATTGGGAAATGAATAGAGAATAATCTTTGACGTAAATGACTTGTCACCCTAATAGTATTGTTGTCTTGTGGAGGGAATACATTGTTACTGGCAGGTTGGAAAAGACGCTCCCCTCATTGTCCAAAACATGCATTTCCAATCATGTGATTTCGTGTAATTTATGCCTCTCCTGCGCCCTCCTACACATCAGGCATTGTGTGTTTTTCAGGAGGTTAAGTGGTGGTGAAATGTGTGTACGGGGGTGGGTGGGGGGGGGGGTCCTGTTGATGGCGTGGCCCGAGACAGCGCCGCCGCTGTATGCTGGTATTCAGGGGGAGGGAGGGTATTGTGTACTGCCTCGGCTGTGTAGAAGTGCAGGCCCTTATCATTATTGTCTGGGCTGTGTGGCACTCAGGGCGGATGTGCTCATCCCTCAATAATAATCTGGCATTGTTAGCTGGTGAAGGAGGCCCAGCCATGACAGCAAACAAAGGGACAGCGCTTCAGGATAAAAATATGTAGTATGTCAACAAACCTCCCTGTGTGTTTGAGCGAGTATGTGTGTGTGAGGCTCCACTGTGGGGTGAAAATGTCAATATTAGGGCTGTGATTAATAAACAATATTTTCTTTGCTACTAATTCATCTGGGGATTATTTTCTTGATTAATCAACAATTGTTTGGTCTATAAAATGTCATACAAAGGGAAAAAATAACCATCAAAATTTCCCAGTTGATATCTGCTTGAGTCCAAAACTCAAATATGTTCAGTTTCCCATCAATAAAGATGAAGAAACACATCAAATCTCCACATTTGAGGAGATGGAACTATGATTTTTGGCATTGTTAAAAAAATGACTTAAACAAGGAATGAATCAATAAGTTGATTAATATTCTCACACATCCTTGAGTTTAACTGTAACTATTTAACCGGTTTTACAGATTTTATACATTCACGATAGAATAAAATATCAATTTAAAAGTGAAAAACTAAAAGACAGAAGCAGGAGTTTATACGCCTGGTGGTTTAAACTTTGGACACAGTGCTGTTAGGTTTGCTTGAAGGCCCCAAGCTATCTATTTCCCATGAATCCTTGTTCTTACCTTCAGTATATTCTCATAGATAGTGTCCCGGAAGTCCAGAAGTGCTTTTTTATCAAACTCTTGCCCGTTAATGATGCGCATCTGTTTGAGGAATGTGGACTTTCCGCTCTCTCCGGCCCCGAGCAAGAGGATCTTCACCAGCCGACGGACGGCTCTCCTCTCCCGGGCGAGCATCGCGTCTATCTCCCGGCTCCTGCGCCGCGCCTCGCGCTCCTGCGCCGCGTCCCTCTCCCGGCTCCTCTCCTTGCTGCTGCCCGTGTCCCGGCTGGCCTCGGACGGGAGCAGGCAGCGGCTCAGGGTGCGGACAACTCCCGACATGGCGAGTCGTGGGAAAAAGTTCACCGAAACTTCAGCGGGAAAATGTTCATTATAGGATGTGACTTCTGGGGTGGAAATGACCCAGTCTGGTTACATCCACTTGATAAATAATACGTCTGCAGCGGATAATGAAATAAATTCTACATTTAGAATGAAAGGGTGAAGCCGTTATCTAGTCTCTAACCAGCAGACAACCCGTGTCCATCTTGGGTAGACCGCGCCATCAACAAAAAAATCAATCTGGATAGAGAGGAAACAAAGCCGGAAAATGTTTAAAACACTGTTTTTAAAAAGTTTAAATGTTTGAGTCCGTCCTAGCCTGTAAACAAAGACGTAGGCTCGAGTGGATCAGTCGTCGGTCTGGCGATCCGAAGCCAAACAATAGTAAGAAGACGCACACGGGGACAGCCCATCCACAGTCTGCGCTCACTGCCAGCGGTTTGTGAACTTGGGCATCGGAGTGAGAGCAGCTCCTCCGGGCGGCGGTGGGACCGTCAGACTGGTGAGGAGGGCGCCGGTGCTCTACCGGGGACCACCGACAGGGGAGTGACACTCCGCTGCAACAGCTCAGAAAGGTATGGAAATCCATATCTGCCACTGGGATGAAGAACAACGACGACTGGCTTACAATGATAATCTGAAAAATAATGACTTAGAATATCAAAATAATGATTAAGAATATGAAATTAAAGACTTAGTTGCTCAAAATAATAAAGTGTATTGTCATTTTGACTTAGATCTTAAAATAATGACCTGGCATCTCAAAATTATGATTTAGAATCTTAAAACAAGCACTTACTATCTCAAAATAATGAGAAACATTTTCAACATTTTGACTTTGTGTCTCAATTTAATGACTTGGTATCAAACAATAATGACTTAGAATATCAAAATGATGACTTAGTTGCTCAAAATAATGACAAACTCATTCTCAACATTTTGACTTACTATCTCAAAAATAATGAAAAATGTTTTCAACATTTTAAATAATCTCAATATAATGAATTGGCATCTCAAAATAATGACTTAATATCTCATATAATGACTTGGCATCCCAAAATAATAATACAACTTTCTCAATATTTTGACTTAGTATCTCATTGTTTTGAGACACTAACTCATTATTTTGTGATATTTTCTCCTTATAATTACTCACAGGGCCTTTTCTTTCAGCCATACAAGCCTCTTATGTGGGATTAGCAGCAAAAGGAGATATATAGCCTATAGTTAACCCTTTCCCCCCATCATCCTCTAAGACAAATTGACAACTCTAGATCACCGAATGTTTGTTGAAATAAAAGGATTGCTTTGCAAGATTAAAGGTCCAGGTGTGTAGGATTTGGCAGCATCTAGTGGCGAGGTGGCAGATTGCAAACAACTGAAACTTCTCCCGTGTGCCAAGAGTGTAGAACTGTGGTGGCCAACGTGAAAAACATGAAAATGCCTATGGCCCTATCTAGAGCCAGTGTGTGGTTTGTCCTTCCTGGGCTACTGTAGAAACTTGCGAACCCTATGTAGATTCAAACGGCTCATTATAAACTAACGAAAACACAACGATTCGTATTTTCAAGTGACTATACCAATGAAAACATATATTATATTCAAAATCTGCTAATAGATTCCACTAAATACTAGTTGTATTTTACCACAACTGGAAACAGACCCACTGGATAAAAGATGTCACAAGTTCCTGAGCTGAAAGTCTGTTTCTCTCCAATCTGGTTCCTCCACCAACAAGTCTTTGCATCGTCACACTTTCTCTCTGTCAAACAGCCAGACAAGCCAAAGCATCCAGGCATGTACAAACTGGTTTGTGTCCCTGGGAAACATAAGCTTCTCACTCAGCCAATGCGACAGGAGACCCTCTTCTTGACAGCCTTCCCTGCCAGAGACACTAATCAGCTGCAGGATCCAGGCCTTTTTCAGGGCCAGTTTCCCTACAAGAATAATCTGCCTCACAAACGCCAATTGGGTCCGCAGACCTCGTGTACTTCAGCAGACTCCCTTCTGCCCACCAACTGTCTGCTGCTAAGATGGTGACTGTGAGCCAAAGGAAGTGGACCCAGCAGAAGCCGGCCAGCTGGATGAAGCAGCAGACATGGAGGTACTGAGGGCCACCAGAGAGAATCCGTTTGGACGGGCTGAGGCTGAACTATGCGAACTAATCAGCATTCCAGTTCCTCTGACATCAAAGGAAATTGGTACATCTGTGTTATTAGTCTCTTTTTTTTTTTGTCATTTGAATTTGAATTGGCATTGTCTCATCTAAACACTATCAGCCTATACAACATGTTCTTCCACAAAATATCAACTCATTTCAAATTCAATCCTATATTCTTTTTTTTTTTTCAGAGATGAGAAGGAATAAATTAAATCCCAAAATATGCTCAGTTGTTGCTAAAGCCAGGAAATCAGATGCCATCAAAGAACGCAATCTCTGAATATCAATTATTCAACTAGCAAAAGTTACTGTCATTGGGATTTTGGTGTAATATTGCAATGGATATGTGAAATATTCCAGCTTTGTAATTCATCACAACTGTTGTCATGATATTGTGATATTACATCCACAGCAGTAAAAAAACAAGAAGAAAAAAAAACTATATGAATTGAAGGTTATTAAACCAGCAAATGCTTAAAATATTAAATTGATGACAAAGTATGAAAACATATTCAATTCCCCAAACTAAAAGTGTATTAATAGCCAACTGTAATTAAATATGACATATTAATTACAAATAATTTCTGGTGTTACTGATATCAGATTTTACTTTAAGGAAAATACTAATTTAAATCTGTAAAATATTTTCTTCTTCAGAAAATGGAAACTTTTGTCAGACAAATAGGGAATGATGCCCCCAGCAGCTAAATGGAATCCAGCCATCACTTTGTAAACAATGTCTTCAGGTTACATATAACTCTAAAAGCACAGGGAGGAAAATATTTTGGAAATACATTAATTATTTGAATAGCAAAAAAGGCTCGTGCATTTTTGCTGGGACTGGTAACGCATGAGGAGAGAGAAGCTGAAAAATCTATAAATATGAAATTGAATGTGGAATTAATTCCAGACTATTTTTAGGGCAAATAACTCCACAGAGAAAAGCCCAATTTTGTCATCAAAAGGCAATTTTTGAATTAGCAAATATTTCCATCACAAAGTATTAGGGGTTTTGCTGGTCCCTAAGGTCTTTGTGGTAGAAATGAGGTTTTGTGGCTCAACGTCCTCTCTGATTCAAAATCATCACCCCAAGCACAATTTGATTGAAATCCTTAGCCTTATGTAGCCTACTACTTTTATTTGTCTGTCTTTAACACCCTTTCTCTGTTTATTATCTTCTTATTGTTTCCTCTTTAATGTTTTTTGTGTCTTCTGTGAGTTTCTCCTCGTCCGAATCGAGAGACTATGTTGTACAGATTGTAAAGCCTTCAGAGAATGAATTAATGAGATCGACCTGATTTCACTTTGTACCTTTGAATTCAGAAACAGAATTCGGAATTCAGAACAGTCTAAAAGAAACAAGCAACAGTTTTTTTTAATGAAAAGAATAGGTTGCACTTTTACGTTTCTTTGGGCAGAGGGCGCTGTTAGATCAGATTTGGTGCGGCCTCTCCTAAAACAAATCCCTCTTTTTAAAACTTAAGCAGGAGGTGAGAGATGGTAAATGAAATGCACAGTCAGCAAGCAAGGTATCAACGAATAACCCCGAAGAGGCCGTGTAAATCACGCTCGGAACATCGTGTTCCATATTGATCCCAGTGTTGTTGAGGACGTGACAGCACAATCACACACACACACACACACACACACACACACACACATACACACATAAAAACAAGTTCTTCTATTGAAATGAACCCCTAATTAAAAAATCCAACAGCTGCGACAGTCTGTTGAACCAGTGCAGTGTGTGTGTGTGTGTACATAATATTTACGTGTATGAGGAAGAGGGAGAGATGTAGCGCTAGATTAAAATTCATCTGGATGGCAACACACTCCTCTCATGTAATTAGCCTAAAAGCCTTTTCATCAGGCTTGGAACAACAGACACACGGGCGTGCACACACACACACACACACACACACACACACACACACACACACACTAGTGGAGTATGCTTCTAGCCACTAATATTCTACATTCACCTCTTAACGCTACTGGAAGAGGCATCTGTATGATGGCACCATTGCCTTGGTGTGTGTTTTCGTGTTTGTATGAGTTATTTATATGCTAATGAATCTGGGAGGGCATGTTGAGTGCTGAGACTGTGTGTGTGTGTGGGGGGGGGATTTTGGGGCAGGAGTCTCTTCATCCGGAGAACAGATGGTGGTGGAGAACCTGGAGGATGTACCTATGTTGCCTTTCTGTTGAAAGTCCTAACAACACGGATCCAGCTCCATTCTGAACTATGTTCAAACCCTCCCCCTCCTCATCCTCTTCGCTGTTATTCCCACTTTACTCTGATGAAATATTGTTATTCAGGCACACTGTCTGGATGCCTGTCTGACTTGAGCTACTTTGGCACCAAACACACCTTTTGTACCTGACTGAAATGCCAAATGCAGCTGTTAGCAGTGATTGACAGGCCCACACTCCAGTCAGCGCAACATGCTTCTCTTCTTCCCTCTCTAATGGCAGAGCTGCTCTCACTGCTCCATGTCAGAGAGATGAGACTCAGTGGGCTGAGTGGCAGTCGGTTTAGAGGATTTGCAACTTTTGTTTGGGTTTGACTTTGCAATGCTAAAGGACAATTCTGGTTTATTGCAAACTGGGTCTTACATTCGTAGTAGAACACTGTACGCACCAAGTTAAAGCAGCTATAATCAACATTTTTAATCATAACAATGGATCAAATTGCTGTGTGAAATGTGAAATGGGTCACTAATAGTGTGGTCCCCTCATTTTAGCATCCTTTCGCATTTTCACCTTCATTAGACAGAGGACAGTACAGGACAGGACAATGGGGAAGAGAGAGGGGTATGACATGCAATAAAGGTCCCAAGGCCGGAAGCGAACCCCGGACGTAACCACTCGGCTGAGGCTCTCCAGTCATAGCCTCGCTTTTGACTGCAGCAGGTAGCTCTACTCACTCCCTTGCAGTGAGGAAATATTATCAATATATCCGGAGCACATTCTCCTCTGCCCTCACCACACATGAAGGTGCTGAGCAATGCAGCGAGCGAAACACATTTCCAATAACAGGTAGGAGATAAGGGATTGGCCTTTAAAGTCTTTTACTGGGAGCAAACTGTGAAACAGCGCAAACAGAATTGGATGCACCACCAATACCAATGGAAGTATAGACTAGCTGTCAAATTAGTCACATTGCCTTTCATGGTGGAAAGAAACAAAGTATAACCATGTAAGATCACCTTTAGACCTGCAATCAGTGATTGTTTGGGCAGCTTGGTGTCTTACCTACCATGTTTCAGATCTCAGCCAGTTTGGAGAGTCAAGATTTGATGAAAAAAGCAAGAAA